CAGCAACACGTGGCGAAGCACATCTAGTTAATAAATAAATTTGCAATTTAATATAATGATATACGATTTAAGAGATGCATTTTTATGTATAATTATATGCAACTAACTTTATATGTTTCCATCAGCAAGATTACAAAATAAGATATGAAGAATGTTCTGAAAAAAGATCAAAACTGCATTGCACTCGGTCCATGAACCACCAGCTAGAAGATAATAGGTCAACGATGAAATCGACAGGGATTGCACTTATTGAAAATTACCCCATCGCGTGCAACTTTTCGAACGGGCAACCGAAAAGATATAAAAGATATAAAAGAGGTGAAATAAAAAAAAAAAACAACGACGACGACGACGACGACGACGACGACGAGTTGCATCAAGCGTGTTCAAAATTGCGAATATACACGGTGGAACCTTATTTCTATGCTGAATTAAAAAGGGATCAGATAACCGATGAGATGAAGCCGTGATTTTGTTCGTAGTCATTTTTATTTTTTGACTCCTCAATACCAAACATTTCGGTCCTTCATTTGGTCAATCAGTGAATCTAAATAATAAATAAAAAAAAATATATATAAAAATGTTCTGTTACAAACAGAAAGTACACACACACACACACGCACGTAATTTGGTAATATTCGATAGTTCAGAAAATGTCTACTAACAGTTAACAATTTGGTTTCCATTTACGATTATTTGAGAAGAACAAGAGACAAAGTAGCAATACCACGCACGGTTTGTTCCTCTCTGAAATAGTCGTTGGTCATTCCGAAACAAAAGAAGATGGTGGGCATGCACACCCGTTTAAAATCCAGCTCCATCCAATTTTCCAGACTTTAATGCGAGCGTTGGTCAGCGGATGGACGATTCGTTTCGTGGCCTCGAGCAAATCCCACAAAATACAGAGGCAACCATCACCATCACCATCACCACCACCACCTCGTCGTCGTCGTCGTCGTAGTCGTCATAGTCGTGTGACCAACCAACCAACCCTCTCCTCGCGTTTGTTGGCGAATACAGAAATCGTTGTTGTACAAGTGAAAGAGAATGGAAGAGAAGTTTTTGGGGTAAAAAGCCTTAGGCGCGACAGATAGAGAAACAACGAATTGAACATGCTCTTTCGTTTTCAAGCTTTTCCCTATTAATTAACAACATTTCCTTAACGAGCTATCGCATGACCGGTTGCGTTTATTATTACTCTCTCTCTCTCTCTCTATCTATCTCTTTCTATCTCTTTCTACGAACAAATTTAATCTCCTTCTCTCTGTCTCCTATCTATCTAAAGAAAAAGCTTTGACGGTTTCAAAGCGATCGTTACGTCGACTCATCGCGTATGACTCGACGACTTCCATCGGCTAACAGAATAAAGCGGTATAACGGAGATATTAATTAAGATTATTTATCTTCGATCGATCGGTTACACTCCGAATACGAACAAATTTTATTTATATATATATATAATATCTAAGAGAGAGAAAAAGAAACAATTCAAACTATTTTATTTCTAATTTTTAATTAAAATTCCAATCATTTTTCTTAACAATAGAAATTGTTTCTATATTAATGATACAAAATGAATCAAATAATTCAACAAGATTATATCAAAATATTACACACTATATTGATAATTTTGAACTTAATTATTATAAAACAAAAACAAAAAAGAAAAATTCAATTTTAAATCTAAAATATTAAATATCAATGAAAATACTTTGATAATAAAAGTGTAAAGAAACAAGTTCTAAAAGTTGAGTTAATCGTTTTGGGTCTGTGTGAATAGTTTGCATATACATACATATATAATATATATCAAAAAAAAAATATATATATATATATATAATATGTTCGGAGGGGTTGTGCCAAAGGGCCAAGACGAACGGACACGTTCGCCTAAGGCGATTTTGTCCCTGAGGAAGGCCATCGGCATATGCAGCTCGCGTGCTTCACCATGAACCAGGAGGAACGAATGTAACAGGTGCAGATGCGGAGGAAACGATCGTTAGTTCAGCAGTCCACGGCACGCGGTATACGTATATA